CACAGCTCAGATAATCAAAGAATCCATAAAACCTGTGTTTTATAGATTAGTGGGCAGGGTTGCCTATTGAAAGTGTCAGGTTGCTAATACACTAATACCTTAATTGGCATTAACGGCCCTGAGCAGCCTCACCCACACTCGTGTCCCAGGGCCACAGGTGCCCATTTAAGCTCAGTCCTGGCCCTTCAATTCCCCCCTGAACAAGGCTGGAGGATGCTGCAGCTGCTGGCACCCCTGTGCCTGGCCAGGGACCCTGACCTTGGACCTGCCTCCTCACCAGGGAGTTGCCTGATGCCGTGGACTCGTGGTTGAAGCTCTGGACTTGCCCTGTTGAACTGGTTGGTGAGGTCCTTGCCCAGCTGACTGCGGTGTCCCCCTGGCTCCCAACCAGTTCTTGTGATGCCCTGACCCAAAGCTTGTTCTCTACCAGCTAGAGATGACACAATTTTAATTATTTTTTAAGTTTAGAAATTAAAATACATTGGTCTAACGGGATTTTAATAACATGCCTATAGTATACCAAAGGAATAGGGTATCTCTCCTCTATATAACTTATTTTCAGGCAAGTTAAAAGCTATTAATGTGCCTTTGTGGTGGCTCTTTCCACAGAAAGTACAAATAGTATCTGTATCAATAATTTTCTTAGACTTGTTCTGCAGCTTAATGGGCACTGTTAACTGTACATATTACCAGTTTTGTCTGAAAGACTTACATCTAGCATATATATATGTCCCACTGTTATATACCATCTTGTATATTCCTACCATCAAACAGAAGGATAGAATTGCAACATACTTTGAGTTCCTCCCTTTAGTGATTCATGTTTGTTTCTGGAGAGATATTAGACTGCTATTGCATTTCTAAAAGCTTAATATCATCTATAAATAAAGATTTCTCCGATATTAGACTGCTATTGCATTTCTAAAAGCTTAATATCATCTATAAATAAAGATAAATATAAACCCATTTTTTAACTCTTTCTTATAAAGGAATGCATTTGTAAACAGGCATATTCATAAGTTATTATTTTCACTATTATTTTTTTTTCAGATTCAGTGCGGGTTATGGAAACTTTTACAAAAGAACTTGGGCACTTTCTGTTCCTGAGACAGGTTGTTTCTTGTTGCCTGCCTGTGCAGCAGCTGGTGTCTCGCAGAGCAGCTCACAAAGCCTCCAGCAAACATGACACACTAACCTACTTTCCGGGCACCATCGTCATTTGCTGCTCCCGTCCGCTCAGTTAAGTTTAAATCGTTGGAACTGCAGTGTTTGATCACAAAGTACTCGGGTTTTAAACTAAGACTGACAGTAGGTGGCTGTGTTTTCTGTACTGTTTGTGAAATAGACGGTTCTTTCTAAAAATAAGCTTTTAAAAGAGGAGCTAAAACGTGGCTTAGCACACTGATACGAATGCAACTGTTTTCAGAGAAAAGTGAGAGTGACTCTGAGTACCGTAGAGCACGCAATGACGATGCCAGCACAAAACTTTGTCAGAAGCCCTGCAACATGTTACGTTCCAAGAGAGCAAGAGAGCAAGCAGGCAACTGTGAGGGTCCTTCGATTTGTCAGAATCATGGTCATGATGAAAACGAAGCAGGGCTTGGATTAAAATGTAGAAGTCCTGCTATGAAATTCAGTTATGCTGAAGTTAGCATACCAAAAAAAAAAGCTGGTAGTGATCTATTTTTGTGAGCACTATCTCTATGAGCTACTGTTGTAGAGCACAATATGCTGCACGGTTTCCTGCTTGATCTGACAACAAACATCCTTGACTTTATTTTCATTTCACCCCCCTCCCCCCAACTGTCTCCTGTCCTGGAGTCCTTCTGTTAAAAACTAGTTAAGAAATGGCCAATAATCTCAAGAGACTTGTCTTTAACTTTTCACACAGTTCTTGTAAATCTTTCAAGTGCGTGGCGTACTGATTCTGAATTGACACATGTTCATTCTTTGGTCTCAGGCAACTTTTGATTTCAGGAAAAGCTTTCTTATACTAATTAACTAGATAAGGAGGGCATAGATCCAGCAGTGCTGTTTGCTTCCAGCTCTCTGCATCTTGTGTATGAGGTGAAGGCTCTGGAGACACAAGAGGCAGCTCTGTGACAGGCACCTTGATGCCTGGAAGGTGAGTAGAGGACAGAAGCTCCACGTGTGTGCCTGTCTTTATGCTTATTTCATTCCAGAACTGACAAATCCTCAGCTGATTTTGTTATTGTCTGTATATACCTGCAAGCAATTTAGAGCAATAATGGGTATAGCTATAAAATGCATAGAATTCTTCTATTCTGCATTTCTTAGGTAAACAATATTCCTGTGCTAGACTAGATCGAAAGAGGAAACTCTTCTATACAGAAAGCCTCACAAATTAGTCTACGTGACTCTTTCTAAAGTACATTTGAACCTGTGGCTCTACAGCAGCCCAAAGGTTATTGGCAATGCACCAAAGAACTGTGACTGGTGGATTTAGATACTAGCTGCAAATCTCCATTAATCTCTGTTTACAGTCTACCCTCTATTACTGTCCACAGATAGTAACTCGTAAATGATGCTTTTTGTAGCAGAACCTATTGAAAGATCAGTTTAAAAATATATAGCAGGAAAAAAAAAAACTTTGGAAAAAAAAAAAAAAGCTGGAACTTTATCTCCTGTTTCCTTTAGGATCTGAATAAAACAGCCAAAAAACACATAGGTAAAGAGTGTTTATTTTTAAATGTGCAGTGTGTTTCGTCATTCTGTTTGAAGAAATTGTGTACTTTGAAGATGTCACAGTCACTGTATGACAAATACACCTTTCAGTTTGTCTCATTAGCCCTTCTACATGCTCATTTTCTTAGTTTTTTTCAGATCTGAGTGAAGAAACTGTGAAAAAACTGTATTTTGATGTCATGCAAATACTCAGCTGTATTATGCCAGCTTCGCTTTTATATAGAGCAGATATAATTGACCACTGAAATGCTTCGCATGCTTAGTATTATCTCTTCATAAAAAGCTGCTCTAGAGGCTTGTTATGGGTTAATTATTGCTACCTGCAAGAGCCAGGAGATCTGTGGTTGCAAGTGTTTTGCAGCAGTTGGAAATAAACCCTGAATTGTTCAGGTATCACCAGTCAGTGTTTCGTTATGATTGTAGTTCTGAGCTGTTATGCTGTAGGTCTGTTGAGACAAAATCTGCAGTTTTTTCAAATTGTGCTTTAGTAAATCAGAGATGTACTTCTGGCATCTCTGGTTTGGACACACAACCCAGAAATCTGTCCCTGGCAGGGCCATTTGAAGAGGCAGGTAGGGAAAGCCTTGTTCAGAAAGGGGCCCTTTTTGGCTAAATTCAAGACAGGGAAATTCTGACTATAGGCTAAGCCTCTCTTCCATCCACCTCTTTACCTGTACGTTTGTGACGTACACATTAGCTTTATGGCTGTTCTTCTGTCCAGCCATGCATGTATAGGACTTTAAAGTGGTACCTTTTGGCTCTTAAAGTCACCTCTTAAGAAATTCTTGATTCTAGCAGAGACCTGCATGTGTGTGTGCACTTATGTTTCGTTCATAGGTACGTGCATTAGAGATCTGTGGTTTTTGCCCCCATGTATTTTTAACCCCTTACATCAAGTCAGGGTGAATCTTGCCATCTTCGAATCTGTAATTAAGCTGCTGTTTGACTATTTTGTTCACTGGCTTTGTACTCCTCTAAGCCATTTAATGATTAAGTGCTGCTGAAATTTCAACTTCAAGTCACTAACTGATTTTGAATCGGTGCTAAATCATAACCGTGCCGTGTATTTCCAGCTGTGACACGGGGCTGCCCCCTCTCAAGGCAGATTCGGGGTCACAGGTACTTCATGACAGAAAATGTACATCTTTGTGTACAGCTTTGGAGTCCTCAACACAGAAAGGACATGGACATGGACCAGCTGGAACAGGTGCAGTGGAGGGCCACGAAGATGATCAGAGGGATGGAGCACCTCTCCTATGAAGTCAGGCTGAGGGAGCTGGGATTGTTCAGCCTGGAGAAGAGGAGGCTCTGAAGGGTGCCTATAGAAGAGCTGGGGAGGGACGCTTTGCCAGGAAGGGTAATGATAGGACAAGGGGAAACAGTTTTAAATTGGAAGAAAAAAGATTCAGATTAGATATCAGGAAGAAATTTTTTACTATGAGGGTGGTGAGAGCCTGGCCCAGGTTGCCCAGGGAAGTTGTGGCTGCCCCATCCCTGGAAGTGTTCAAGGCCAGGCTGGATGTGGCCTTGAGCAACCTGGTCTGGTGGGAGGTGTCCCTGCCCATGGCAGGGCGGTTGGAACTAGATGATCTTTGAGGTCCCTTCCAACCCTAACCATTAGGAAAAATTTTTTCACTGAAAGGGTTATCAGACATTGGAATGGGCTGCCCAGGGAGGTGGTTGAGGCACCATCCCTGGAGGTGTTCAAAAGACGGGTTGATGAAGTGCTGGGAGGTATGGTTTAGTGATGATGCTCCTTGTTTGTTGTGTGGGTGTCTATTTTTGTCAGTTAGGTTGACGGTTGGACAAGATGATCTTCAAGGTCCCTTCCAACCTAGAAGATTCTGTGATTCTATGAAAATGAGCGGGAGCCTTGCAGTGAGGGCCTCAGGAGGCCTGCTCAGGAAGAGCAGCCGTGCCTGCAGCTCTGGGGAAGGTAAAGGAGAAGCCAGGCGGGCTGGGGAGCGGGGGTAGGTTCCCTCCTCACCCCGCCGGGGGCACACAGCCATCCCCGGGGGCACACAGCCATCCCCAGCGCCTCACGCCATCACCCACCTCCCGCCCATCCCCATTTTAGCCGCGG